AGGACGACAGCAACAACAACATCAGGATCTAACTAGGGACGATGAAGATGTATTAATGGAAGGGAAGAGTAAAGGTAGGGTGGACAAAGAGATTAAATCTCATTAGAGATTAATAGATGATTCAACCATGAGAATTGGTTGTTGGATTTTAATCTCATTAGAGATTAAATCCAATGGGTTTGATTGGTCAATTACATGAGAAATTGCACCTGCACACTTGTTTTAGAAAATAACTTTTATCTTATTAAAACCAGTTTTAAACTTGTCCCACATTGGATATTTACAAGTTTTGTTTTGGGTATTTTAATAGGAGTTGACTTACACTCCTTAGAAATAGAAGAGGAGAGTATGGAGACTTGATACTGCACAACATGTGTGCGCACATGTGTGTAGCGCAATGAGGCGCTTTAGGGTGACTTTGGTTTTGGTGCGATGTTGACCGTTGATCACCATTGATGAAATCAACGGTCATTATTCGATCGGGTATGATCAAGAGGCACAATTCAAAGTTAATAGTCATTAACTGTTAACTACCTTTTAAACAATCACAACAATTTCGAAATTCACTTTCTCTCTCTCTCTTAGTCTAGTCTACTACAGTCTCATAGAAGGTTTCTTCGGAGACTCTTCAAATTTGCTGGTTGTAGATTCTCGCCCAAGGCTCTGTTGTATTCTGAGAACGGATTTGCCTATAACCCAACAACAAACTCAGTGAAAACTTAGTGGGGGCAAATAACGTTCTAAAGACAGTGTCTTCAGACGCACCTCAAAACTTCTCCTCCAAGTTTCAATGACCCCATTTCCCAACATTGGTAAAGTTCCAGATACTCAACGAATGAATGAACCCCTGAAAAGGATGAAACATATTACCCTACCAGTTGTTCTGTTTGTTTAACTCTCCAATAATCCAAAGATTATGCTTCTTAAGTTGTGGATAAAGCATGCATTTTGTATAAATAACATGGATTCAAAGCTCATTGTAGATGTTGATGTTTTATAAAGGAGAAAATCACTTTTTGACTTGAGGAGATTTGAAGTATCTAAAAACGAAAGTGAAATTATTCAATCTACAAGGTTTCATTTTCAGGAAGTCAGCTCGGAGCAAAAAGAAGACATGAAAAACCTTGATTCAAAACTTGAAGAGAGTAATCACCATTAGTTTATGCTACAAAACTTGTAGTTTTGCTAGTGAAAATTGATGAAATGCTTAACAAACCCTAGAAATTGATACTCTTTCTATGGTTAAATCAACATCATCTAAGATTCTACCCTGATGGTGTTGTATGGAGAATCTTGTATGAACTTGACAATTTCAAACAGATTTTGCATTGGGAAAATTTGGAGAATCTCGAATTGCAATTAGAGCTACACTACATCTACTGAACCAATATTTTTTAAAGCAATTCATGATCAAGAAAATCATATGAAGTTTCTCCAGTGAATGCTATTGAAATTTCAAACATGCAAACAATCAATGGAATCACTTGTACTTTTGAAACACAAATTAGCTAATGGTAATGACAAAAGGGGCATTCAAACACATGATGAGTCAGGTGCAGATAATAGCTAAGTAATGCAAATGGTAATGGCGAAAGGCACTTTCAAACACCCTTACTCCCTTTCACTTTGAAACGGTGAGAAAGAGATGCCAATCAAGTAAGGAACGAGAAAGGGAAAGAATTGTCCGACGAGTCTTTTTAAGTTAAGGGTAATTTAGTGTCTCTAAAAGTCCTACCTCTATATGTTTTAGAGGCGCTTGGTTGAGAATTAGAGGCGGATTTGTAATTCCCCTCTAAATTGGACTTTTAGAAGTCCATACAACTGTCTCTATTGTACTAACGCTAAAAGTCTTCTATATAGGCACTTACAAGTGCCACAAAAAATCCAATTTAAAGACGCATTTGAATGCCTTTAATTGCTTTTGAAGCAATTTTATGTGCCTTTAAAAGCAATCTAAGAAGAAAAAATTTTCAATTAAAATGGTTCAGCAACATTGTGGCTGCCTCTAAAAATATATGCTTCAATTTTTAGAGGCACTTTTGACTGCCTCTAAAGATGCTTCAATTTAAAAAAAAATGTTTTATCATATATAAAACATGTATATAATATTGAAATAAAACCTATATAAAATATACCTATACCACTCCATTCAAAAAAATACACCCGTAACTATTGTTCCATGATGATTCTATTAAACAACAAAAAAAATACTCAAATTGATTTTCATCCTCTTTCTAAGAACAAAAAGAAAAACGAAAAAGAAAGGAAAAAACATTACATTTAATTCTCATTGTCTTCCTTCATCCAACTTAGTAGATAACTTCTTTAAATAGAATCCAAAAAGATATCAAAATAAAACCTGTAGCAACCTATTCCAAAAAGATATACCTCCAATTAAATACAACATAACAATGATGAAAATGCAAATAACAGCTCATGTGATGTTATGAATTTATTTCCATTGTTGAATTATTCATCTTTGATTGAAGGGTCTCAAAGGACTAATGCAACCACAACCACAACAGATGTGTCCTCACAAGTAAGGGGTCTAGACTAGTGAATTGTGGAACATAAAAAAACCAACATGAACATGCTTTATATTTGAGTTTTTCAGCATAATTCTTATAAGATGGCTATATAATTTATGATAATTTCACAAAAAAAAAGGTTATAGACTTCGAACATGAGACAATATTAGAATATGATAACTCTCATGTGAACCAAATAAAAAGTAATTTGAACCTTCAACCTTTAGGATAAAAAAAAAATAAAAAAATAGTAGCCTTAAACCTAGGCTGCTAATGGATATAACAAGAATATCAGATCAGATCTTTACTGCATTTAGCAAACCATATCAATTTGGATCATGAACTCATCCATTGCAAGCCTTACTTTACAAGGGATGTTAACCTATAAAAGCTTGGATTAGTAGTAATTGGTGAAAGTAGATTAATAACCATACTTTCAGGAGTATAATTAGCATCACTTTTAATATAAGCATCCTAAGGAGAGTTTGGATCTGCTAACACAATACATTGCTGTCTGGCCACGTTCGCCCAACCGCACATTAGCAATGTCTCCTATACTTTATATCACTAATATTCTCAATGCATGTGTTGTGTGGCTTGATGAATGTGGCCAGAAATGTGTTGTGGTCAGCAAATCTGAACTCTCCAAAGGATCTATAAACAAACAGTTTTCCTACTTCACATACAAGATGAAGGGTGTAGACCTCACAATTCAATGTTTTCAAAGAAGCAGATTGACAAGAGGTGAAGATAATAGACCTGCCAAATTAGAGTTTGGTGATTCTACCAACCACACAACCAGCTCAAGGCTTATCAATGATGTCACAAATAATAAAAACAGAAGATGGTTATCCTTAAGGTAGGTCTTAAATTTTCCAACAAAAATAATAAAAATTGAAAATTATAATTATAATTATAAAAAGTAAAATATAGTTATAATTATAAAATTTGAAACAAATAATTTAAGATTTAATTTTCACCAAAACAATTTAGTAAAAACTGAAGATTATAAAAATAGTTTATGTTATCTAATTTAAATGATTTATATGTTTTATTTTACATATAAGTTATATATTAAAAATGAAAACATGTTTTTTATTTGAAAAATAGAATTATTATTTTTATAAAAATACTAAATAGATAAATTTCCCAAAAATCAGTAAAATTAAAATAGAGTGATAATTATTATATGATGTATACATGTTCTAGATTCTAGAATTGTTGATTGTAATGTTTCTCTTCATATAACCTATTAAAGTGTGTGTTTTTCATGTGTTTATACCTTATTTATAAATGTTGAATTTTGATCTCATTAGAGATTAAACCCAATGGGGTTTGATTGATCAACCACATGAAAAACACATATGCACACATGTCTTGAAAAATAGTTTTTTCTCTTACTAAAACCAGTTTTTAACTTGTCCCACATTGAAAAATTATAAGGCTTGTTTTGGATTTTTAAATAGGAACTTATTTACATTCCTTAGATATAAAGAGGAGAGTATGGAGGCTTGCTATCGCGCAACGCATATGCACGCGTGTACGCGTATGTATGTGGCGCAATGAGGCACTTTAGAGGCGCATTTTGCTCGCACCCGTGTGGCTCACAAAGGGCGACTTTGACTTTTGATGTGAGGCTTACCGTTAATGGCTATGATTCGATCAGGTGTGATCAAGAGTTACTATTTAAAGTTAACAGAAATTATTTGAGGAGCGTGAATCAAGCAATTGCACATACAAATTTCAAAAGTCACTCTTGTCTGTCTTATAGAATCTTCACGCGGCTTAGAACTTCTCCAAATTTAAGTGACCCCAATTTCCAACAATAAATAATTCAACTTTGGATTTAGTGTTAATAATAATGTATATATATGATTTATGATCATTTCCATAGTTTATCTCACTTGATGTTACTAATCAATCTTGGATTTGCATTTTTAAGATCTGCTCATTTCAAATTGTGACAAAAAAATATGAAAAAAATCATATTTAATGGGTTGTAAACCTTAGCCACATTTCCAAAAATAATTTCTTACTTGTAGGGAAGGGATGCTCATCCTTCACCAAAAGCTAGCTTGACTTTCTTTTAAGCCATGATCACGTTGTTACTTTTACGATTTTGCTCAAAAACACAAGAACACGTACATACGGCACATCCCAATAATAGATGGCCACCCATTATATTCAAGGGATGAAATTCCCTTTGGCTCAGTATTCCCAATTCAATAACTTCAATCAAAACACCAGAGGCCCTGTTCCTTGCCCCGTTATTCCACTCTCCATGAGATGAGATTCTTTGTATGGCCCACACCTTTCACCTTTCAAATATTCTTCTCTTCTCATCTCAAATTAAACCAAATATATAGGCCGCCTTTCAGATTCTTCACTCACACACTCCACCCTTCCATTTCCCATACAAAACCCCCCCTCTTCTTTCTC